AGAGAGAAAAAAATTTTTTTTATATATATATATATATATATATATATATATATATATATATATATATATATATATAGTTGACGTATAACTTATGTATATATTGAGGAAATAGTTCAGACACCCCTCTTTCAAGTCAAGTCTGGACTTTTGGTCAGTCCGTCCTTCAAATATTTTCGGGTCAATGATTTAACTTTAGTCCTTTTTTCACAAATGGTTGTCATTATATTATATGGGCGAGCTTGCTACATGCTGAACTCCTGGCAGTAATAGCTAGACCCAGCATGTTTATATGTCGGCTGAAGTTGCATGTGTAATGTGCAGTATGTATATGTTTTGAAAACACCGCCATCTAGTGGTTAAAAGAGGTCTGTTGAGTTTCAGACTTAGTGCTGAGTCAGATAATCACAGTGCAGGCAAAAATAATTTCAACTTCGTTTTTTACGATTCCTTCTATATGTGGTTGAGGGTGAATTTTTTTAACAGTTAACAGTTGTTAAAAGAAAAGGAGGCCCCTCCTATTTCTAACAGTCTCAATGCTGACGTCTGCATGCAGCCTTCTTGTCCTGCTTTGGTATATATGCATGTGACGACTACTTTTCGATAAAATATTTATGTGTCTGCTTCATCTACAGGTTATATTTCTATTTAAAATCTGAGGCTTCTAGAGAAACACTGCTGGTATCAGTGCAAAGATCTGCTTCTTTTCCAGGATCTTTAAAAATAGAAAGTGACAGAGAGCGAGCCATGGTTTTTATAATCTCGGATGCATTTGAACTATTGTAGTGAAAGGCAACAGAGGACTTCTGTATTATTTTTGGCTCAACTAAATAATTTTGTTGGTTGAAGAAGAAAGAAAGAAGAAAGAAACTCCATATGTTTCAAGAGACAGATTTATTTATAAAAATACAAGTAAAATGATTTGTTCAGTGTCAGTGATGCACATTTCTTACAGAGCCATATTTTATCTTTAATACTTCAGGACTTAATATTAATAACTTAAAAAAAATGTATTGTTCTGGGTGCATATTTATTTATAAAAGAGACATGTATACTTTTGTCTTTAATAAAGATAAAGTTCCTGTTAGGGTTTAGTTTTGCAACTGATACATTATCCGTAATAAATTGGTCAAACATTTAAAAAGCAAATCATTTCAACAAATAAGGTATTTCACATATGTCAAAATTCCCAGGCCCATACCAGCACAGCTGCAGAAGTGAACCTAATATAAATGCTCTCTATAAGTTTTATGACTGAGTGGCAAAACATAATTTCACACCAATACTGGCAATCCTGTGGATGATGTTTAATAAACCTTAAAATGTATTCTGCTATTGCAGCATAGCTTCACATAATGTAAAAAAAAAATCAAACCTTCAAGTGGATCTATTGAGTGGATGAAAAAAGTTCTACATAAAGACATGATGTGAAGTTGTGTTAAACGTATTTTGAACAAAGTGGTTGATGTTACACTTATTGTCAGCCCTGCAGCCATAGTCTTAGTCTTCATTAGAGAAATCTACCACAGCATTACTTACCCTCCACCGTACCCAACAGTGGATATGAAGTGCTTTTCCCAATATTCATCCTTTGTTTTGTGCCAAACCCTAAAGCATTTGTTTGTGTGAAGAATTTGCAGCTTGAGATATTTTTTGATCTTACATTAAAGATTGGATTTCTAATAAAACATGAGTTAGATTATGCTACTGTAATAAAATGTGAATTTTATTGCTTTTGCACACATTTACCAGGGGTGCCAGCAAGTGTGGAGGGCCCTTGAGGTGAATAAGTGCACTGTAAAATGTACTGACCTGATTTTACAGCATCCAAACACAAGTGATAGAGGAAGGTTAAACACACACTGTAATCTGATATGCAATGCTTACAAAGTGCAAATTAAGAGCAAATTTCATCAAAAGAAATAAAATAAAAAGAAAAACCCACATAATTTGTTTTATGATAGAATTTTTAAGTGGTACTGCACATGCAGTCCGACATCCTCTGCGTGGCCCAATAAAGGCCGCTCAGTCTGAAAACGTTTCACGTTCAAAGGTCCCGGGCGTGATCACGGTGGTCAAAGAGTGAACTGGAGGTCCTCGTGCCGTAGAACTTTGTAGGTGAGCCAGTAGAGCACGTTAAACATGAGGAAGCTCATGGGGAACACGGCTCTGGAGATGGTGTCGATCCTCTTCGCCCGCTCCACGAAACGCCGCCGGATTTCATAAAAGCCTAAACCGGGAGGCAAGTCGGCGAAGACCGGCGTTGCGTCCATTTCCGGGGCGCTGGACAGGGAGAGTCCAATGCTCTGGAGGAGAAACCCCTGCTGCGCCAGCTCCTCTTCCTGTGGGGAGGTACACAAAACACAAGATGGAGCACAGTCGTTGGGCTTCGGCCTGAGAACGTGACCGGCGATGAGGCAGCAGGTCAGGACGTACCCTGGCACAGGCACTGCACCGCTGGGTTGCGCTCCCGTGAGCGGCATTGTTTCCTGGCGTGGTGTTTCCCTTCCCCTTACCGTCACTGCTTCCCTGCTGACGGTGAACAGACAGGACACGACCCTAATCACTAAACAGCACTCTGCCTTGTTAACAGAAGCGTTTTGTAGGTTGAAAATATTTAAATATGTTGATAATTCCTGAATCTGACGTCCACACCCCCACCTCAAGAATTATTCACATCACAAGATGGTTTTGACCCATGTTGGATCCCTGCCTTTTCGTCTCATATTATTGGGGGTAAAACCGGAAGAAGCTGAGAACACAGTGTCTGCAGTGAAACAAGGTGAATTGAATTAATTACAGGTCAGCGCTGCCTGCGTTTCCCGGTTGGAGCGCAGCATGCAGCTGAGCTGTGGCTCTTGCATAGCTGGGCGCAGTGAATAGCAGGTGACAGCTGCCCCGGGGGTTGTGTGGGTGGGCTGTACTCACAGCTCTCTGCTGCTGCCGCTGCTGCTGCCGCTGCTGCTCTTTAAGCTTCTTCCTGAGTCTGAAGAACTCCTTGTGCTGGCGTGAAACGAAGTTAACAGCTGCGTACTCCAGCAGCGCGGCAAACACGAAGAGGAGACACACGGCCATCCAGATGTCTATAGCTTTGACGTAAGACACCTGCCAGACCATGGGCGTTGCATCCGTTGATTAGTATTAAGACTGTGTGCGAAAGCTGATGGCAAGTAATTCTGCAGGGCAAACTTTATTTGACATCTTTATCTCATCATTGTGTGTTTTTTTTTTTGCCTGCTAGTCAAGCGGGTATATGCAATGCTTAGGATTTTATCGACCTGATTGACCTGTTCTTTGATGACTCACTTCAATGATTTTTAAAAACAAAAATATTGCACTTAAGTTTCAATTTAAATAAGGAAAAAATGTGGCTTAAAAACTTTACTCATTAAATACTTTCACTAAGAGGAATAAAGGTTACCTATAAACAAAAAGGGTAACGTTGCTTACCTTTGGCAGAGAGGCTCTGGAGCCTGAGCTTTGTGTCGTCATGGTGAGCACCGTGGTGATCCCCAGGCCCACTCTGGCCGGCGCGGCGTCCATGTTGATCCAGAAGGACACCCAGGACAGGATGACAGTGAGCAGGCTCGGTATGTACATCTGGATCAGGTAGTAGCCCATTTGACGCTCCAGGTAGAATTTAACCTCTATGCAGGTGAATTTACCTAAACAAAAGGAGGAGTTAGAAGATTAAACGATGACAGAAGGAGCAGGTCGCTACACACAAGAAACAGCTGGGTTATTTCTTCAAGCCACATGTTGTATTTATACAGTTGGGACTGTTCGGTTGTTTTTTATCGAACGTTGAGGGAAAGATTGTGAGTCAGGGTGTTGAACGTTTGACAGAACTTCGTCAGCCATAGGACTAAGCAGCAACCTGGTAAGACTTCACTGAAACTCTTCCATAGAATGAAACAGATAAAAACAGATACAAATAAAAATCCAAAAAAATGTGAAGAGCATTTATATTCAGCCCTCTTTTCTGTGGTACCCCTATGTAAAAATCCAGTGCAGCCAATTGCCTTTAGAAGTCACCTAATTACAAAATGGAATCCACCTGTATACAATTTAATTACAATAACCAAAGAAATTGTGAAAACCATGTATAATTTTCCTCCTACTTCGTAATTAATGTGCTGCTTTGTGCTGGTTTATCTAATTTATTCCCAATAATTAATGCAACAAAAAAGCTGAAGTTGCAAAAAAGAAAAATAAGAAACATTTCCAAGGGTGTAAATACTTTTCCAAGAACTTGCACGCGAGCTTGCGCTATATTTGAATCAGCACTGAGATTAGGTTAGTTTTAACCCAACAAGCACTGTGCACCAAGACTGTTTATGTTATCAGATTGCAATATACTGCGTACCTGTGTTGTAGTTCTTGGTACAGTAACCAAGACCTTTCTCCTCTTTCAGCAAAAACTGGGGGAGCGTCAGATCGTCGGCCACCTGCACCGCTCCGACGTCCAGCCACTCGAAAATAAGGTCGTTCATGGTGTAGCCAACTAGGAAACACAGAGAAGCTGCACAGTGAGCAACAAGTTCACTGACCAAATCTACACACAATTTCTGGCTTTGCCTGCCATGAAGGATGAACTCACAGCTCTCCAGTTGCATTATGCATGTCTGGCTATCCATGGGGAAGTTCTTCAGATCCATGGGGCAGGAGAGAGTGAGCGTCAGCCTAGAAGTCAAAAAGCAGCAAAAATGTTGGAACTATTTAAGCAACAAAAAGGGTGACAACCCAACTCTCGCAACAAACAGTCCATCCTTTCTTTCCCGTCTACGGAATTTCACAGGTGCAGTTTTTAATTTTGAGTTTAATGTACATGAGTCACATGGAAAAAATGAGCAAATACTATCCAGTTTTGTCTTCTAAGAGAATTTGGATATCTAATACAGGTTTTAACAATACTTGCATATTCCAAAATACAGCTGAACAATCAAACTGAAGATTTAAGAACATTTTGTAAAATGCAATAAAAAGATTTAATAAATCAGAGTTCCTGTACATCTAGTCTCAGCATCACATCAGGTTCACATCATTAAAACATCCAGGCTATGCATTTTGGATACAGTTTATTCACTGTTTCGCTGTTTATTTGAATGAATAGGACAATAAACATATTCATACTATCATTACTTTTTCTTTTGTCGGGTTTAGGTTTATGTTTCAAGTTCAAAGGTCAGAGCCCAGCAGGAAAGCCGATGGTTTGGCTCATGTCTCTCGGAGGTGCTAACGGAGCGTCAGACGACGCCTCTCGTGTCTGTTGTTCTAATTATAACTCAGTACCATTACGCTACATTTCACAACTGCTTCAGCGGCTCTTTACTGACCTGATTTATTTTGCCCGCGGTTAAAGTTTGACATGAACTTGCTCATGTAGTGTTCTGGACAGTACAATTACTAATGAACTGAACTGGGGTGAGAAAATCCTCTCGCAGGCCGTGCAGCATTCTCAGAGGTTTTGATTAAAGCCTCGGGACGCGGAGGCTCACGTTCAGATTTGAAATGAGGGAAGAAGAAAGGAAAAAAAAAAAGCACGGTATAACCTGATGCTGTAGAGGACGTTTCCATTCTGGAATATCCGGAGCAGTTTGTTGTCGGTCGTAACCTCGTGGAAGTTTGCTCCCTTTTCGTTTGCAAAGAACAGATCGGGTTTCCAGATGGAGTCCAGCATTGAGGGGTCTAAGTCCAGAGAGTCGTCTGGATACTCCTTATAGGCAAGTCGGGGGTCATTCCACTGCTGCCGTAGAAACACATTTAGCCGGTAGTCCTAACAGTAGGAATCAGATATGAAAGTAGTCGAGAAATGCAGTAAAAGTGGCAGTACCAAAACCTACAGCTTGTTGTAAAAGTATTTATTTAGCTACACTCCTTAAACTTCTCACATTTTACAGAAACAAACTTCAATCTATTTTATTTGGATTAAATGTAAAATATAAGGAAAATTATGCATTTATTTATTTATTTTACATTTTTATAACAAAATATCTGCAAAGCAAGGCATCTATTTATATCTATTTATATACCCCATTTTCTATGGTAGGCCTAAATAAATGCCTTCAAAAATCACTTGATTAGTTAGAGTCCATCTGTGCACATCTGCAGTATTAATACATCTGTTAGCATTTTAGTAATATCCCAAGCTTTGAATATCTCACAGAGCCATTCTACCTGAACCTAAACGAATATAAATAAACAGCCAGAGCTGCAACGGAATGGTTTAGTCCAGGGCTCTGCTACCTTTACAGCCCAAAGAGACATTTTTGCTTTAAGTACATCTAAAAGCTAAAAAACTGGTTTAGAGGCTGGAAATCTGTTTTTGTCATTTTAAAGAACAGGCATCTTATTCCCATTCCTAGGTTTTAACAAAGAAAAACATTAAAAAAAAAATCTAAATATTTTCACATAATTTCCAGTCAATATTAATAAGAAAAACAGATCTAAAAAAGAAAAAGACTTGTACTTTTAATGCCATTCTGTTGTGGAAATTACATAAAATCATTCCATAAAAAAAACAACAAAAAACAAACAGAAAAAAATCTTAAAATCCATTTGTTTTTATATCTATTTTTGAAAACTTCAGTTGCTTCTTTGCCTCTTTTTTGTCAGTTTGTAAGAGCCAAGGTGGATGGTACAAAGAGCAACTTGCAACCCTGGAGCCACAGGTTCATATTCAAATGTTTGAATGGACCAGTCAAAGTCCAGCTCTAAATCTAGTAGAAAATCTGTGGCAAAAGTTTTAAAAACGTGCTGTTTACAGTTGTTCTCTGTCTACAAAGTACTGACTCAAGCGAGCCGAATGCAACACTTCTCTGAATTTTATTTCTCAAAGAAAGATTGCAAACCACACGCAACTTTCTATCCACTTCACAAACACGTGCTACTTTCTGCTGGTCTGTGTAAGAATTAATTATTAATTCTTACATAGAAGTTTGTGATTGTAACGGGGAAAACCTCAAATGAAATAGCACTTTAAATTTCTAATGAGATTTAAACCTTTTTATATCTTGCACAGGTGTAACAAGAGCACAATGAAAATTGAAATAAATAAATAAATAAATCACAATCACACAAACTTGTCAGCGTGAAAACTGTCATAAACACCAGCAAACAAACCTAAGTGCTCTTAAACTGAGTGCACTTCCCGTTACAGCCTAAATTTTTCAGGCTTTGCTTAAAGGTATTTTCTGCACAAAGTTTTTTACTCTAAGCTTGAATAAATTAGCACATGCAGCCATCTGAAGACGCTTGGATACACCTAATAAATTATTAATGCGTTCCTGTGTGACAGAGACCTTGCACATACAAATAATAAAAAGAAAGAATCGAAAGTTGAACTCAAGATTCTGCTCAGAGGTAACTAATGTAACTTCATGTTTGAAAGTTAAGTAAAAAGTAAAATATCAAATAAAAAAATATTGTCTCAGAACTTGTAGTTATTTCCGATTAAAACACAGATTTAGAGTAAAGGTAAAGTCCTTATGACATGTTAGATATATATTTAAAAGGAAAGCAATGTGTTAATCTAAAACAGATTTGTACGTTATCTAACGAGAACAAGATTAACAAGAACAAGATTTAGTTTTTTAACCCTTGCCTTCATTCAACTTAATTTAAAAATATTGATTTTGTTTTTAGGAGCACACTTAAAAACAAAGCTCTGCTTGCAAATTCATGCGCAAATGTATCTCTTAGCCAACATTTTTAGTGCCACAGTCACCACTGTAATACCTAGTTTAAAGTCTTTGGATGACGGTATCTTGTCCTTACTAGCATAAACAAACATCTATAAAATTTGTGAATTTAAAATATTTTGTCATTATAATGTGTAGTTTACTGTATGTTGATGTATTTATAGAGTAGTATTTCTTTGCATTCCAAACAGAAGTTTACTCTGATGTTCATTACAAACATGCAAGTTACTAACTTGAGTCTTTTAATGATTTATTCAAAACATTGTCTTTGGAGGTGGATGAGACACTTTTTTATAACTTTAATATTTTTTTTAAATCAAGAATTGTATGTTCAACAGCTTATTGGAGATTTAGTGGTATTTGTTGGTTTTCTGGCATGGACTCATCTTTTATGTGTTAAATGGGGTTATGGCTAGAGCTTTATCCATCCCATGTGATGTATGTTTAGGAGAAGGGTGTCCAATGTACTGCCTGATGGCAGCTCTTGGAATAACACAAATTTGACCACCAGCAAAAACCAAATAATTTTTTTACAGCAGAATTCTCACAGAAGAAAATGCATCTTCATAAAATTGAAAATGTTTGGTATAGGTGTTTGTCTTTTATTCACACGAGAAGTTCAGAAACCAGCAGGAAAGCCGATGGTTTGGCTCATATCTCTCGGAGGTGCTAACGGAGCTTCAGTCAACATTTTATTCTAATTTTACAGTAAGTGGGAGCACAAACAACATCAGACTTTGCTAAGCCTACAAAGAATAGAGTAAAAATTCTAAATTAACAAAACAGAACAATAGAAAACTCTTTTAATGAAGCAAAAATGTTTAATTTTCTTAACATAGCTTACCTTGTATACTTCATTAAAATAAGACGTTTCTTTTTGTGCAAGAATAAAACGAATATTTATTTCACAGTGAAGGGGATTAAACTTTAAGGATTTAGATATATGGACCACACTCACATTTGAAACCTTGGGTGTGTTCTTGAGAGTCTGGAGTGAACTGAAACAAGTGTGAGAAGAGCACAGAACTGACTCACCATGGTGGTTTCAGTGATGGATCCAAAGCTGTTGATGAAGATGTTGCAGGTGACGTTGACAGGAGGACCTGACAGAAGCAAACCGTCACCAAACATCACCGGAAAACACTTTCCCTAAACACAAAACGACGTTTTCTAAGCAGAACACACAAATTACCGGGACCAACAAGGAAGCATAGCTTTCCTCCAAAGTAACATCTGCTTGTTACCTCCACGTCGGGGCCATGTTACGGGACTAAACAGGCACATCTTATTATGTTGTCATTCCTGGTACACTCCCGTTATCTGCGGCCTTCTGACGGGATAAATATTTCAACCGCTCTTTTCCAGATGCAATAATTTATTGATTCTGCTTTAGTTACATTAGTGTATTTATAGCTAATCGGCGGGAGATTTACCCAGCATGCACTGACGGGGGACGCGGAGCAAGCATGAAATAAATATGAATCTCGACCCTGGAGGCTAAAGGCGAAGCATGTCAGAGGGAATCTGCTGGCTTCACTCACAGGCGCTGCTCAGGACTGGACTGAAATAGGCCTCTGGGGTAACATGCAAGGATGACTGCACACTTGTGTCAGAATAAAAACGTGATGGAAAAGAAAAGAGAATCCTAACTCAAGGCTGTGGGTCAGCGGGGAGAACAGTCACAAGCCATGATTAAGGAGAAAACATCCTCGCCTGCAGAAATCGCCCCACTCTTGTTCGTCTGTGAGTGATTTGTGCTCCTTGGCTGCTCAGATCGCTTCGGAAAACGGGCTGCTCACACCGCAGCGCATTTACCTTTGAAATTGGGTCTGATGCGAGCGTCGTAGCCAGATGTTCGCCCCATCAGTTTGTCCAGAAAGTCAGATGGAGAGGGAGGCTTGAGCGCTCTGCTGGGGAACTTCATCTCCTTACAGAGCGCTAATCTGGCAGGTGACAGGACAACCTGAAGAATATTTGACCCATTTCTGCCTCTAATAACATCTAAAGTCTTCAGTTTGACTTTAAAGGGACATTTCATGCACACGTTTTAAGCTACGGCAGGGATTTATTTTTAATTAAATCATTACAAGGGCGGGTTCTTGGGGCGACTGCTCCTTTCGTGCTTCTCACTCATTCAACTCCAAGTAACACAAGAGATCTTTCACTTCCCATATCATCTTAAAAACTGGCTCTTGGAAAGTCTAAAATGTAAACATTGAGAATGTATAAACATATATAGATTTTATGGTTGTTTTTTTCCTTCTTTGTATTTATTATTTTTGCTTTAACCTGCCAATGGGAGTAGATGGAAATTAGCCACCTGTCTATAATCTCATGTACTTGGATGTAAATGCTCAACAGTATGTATTATCAAAAAGAAAAAAATATATATATATATATAATATATATTAACTGAACTTGAAGAATGTACACACTTGGATTAGTTTACCAACCAAAATCTTAATTAAATGGCCTCATTTTCTGTCATTCTACATGGTGTTTACTTGGGAAAACATTTGTCCTAATTGGGGATCATAAAATATTTAACTCTAGCTTCCTCTGTGAGTAAACAGAACTGTTGACAAGACTCTCTCTTTCTGAGAGGCACTTGGCATCATCTTGTCAAATCGCATTAAACGCAGTAGTAGGCACACACTCCAGTAAATACACTAACCCTATAGGCGACTACAACATTCCCACAAAGCTTTTCTTACCTGGCTTGTAGAAAAACGACAAAGCAAGCCCAAAAATCGCACCAGTTGCTTAGAAGCATTCCTGTGTACTGGGTAAAGCAGATAAAGCGAGAAAAAGAAGAAAAGCTGGAAATGGAGAAACAGAAAGAATGCAGGAAACTTCTTCTTCTTGTGGCTGTCCTAACCGGGCTGATCCAGCCAACAGAGCCTCTCTCCCTCAGAGCAGGTGTAAAGTACAGGAAGCTGCTGCTGCTGCTGTATAATTTAAAATCCAAGGGAAGTTTTTTTTTTCTTCCTCCTCTGTCTGTTTGTGTGGATGACTTCAAGCTTGAACTCTTTTTTTTATGGCCATGTGATTGCTGAAAGAATTACTGCAAGAGTATTTAAAGGAACAGTGTGGTTTTTAGAGCAGCCTGGCATTAATGCTGCGTCTTCTTAAGTTTGGGAATAATCAGGATTCTCTGGTCACATGAGAAGAATTAAATTAAATCAGTGGATAAAATTCATTGCAAAATGTATTTTTAATTATTGAAATTTTTAATGCATAATTTTCAAATACTCAAACAGCATCCAGGTTACCATTTATCTACAGATTTGAAATAAAATTGACAGAATTAAAGAATAAAATAAATACAATAATTTTGGCTTTTAAGTCTTAGGCAACCATTGAATTGAACACACCTAAATAAAGAAAAAAAGAAATGTACTACTTTAGGCGATAACCATGCAGCACCTACAATATTACCTGAACTTTAAACAATAAAACTATATTATATAAAAAAAAAAATAAAACATTTGTTGTACTTTTGTAAATTACTGTACAGCTTTGAATTTTGTCTAACTTAAATGCAAAGGGCTAATAAATTCTAAAAATAATTTATTTAGCAAATATGAAGTAGTTGATTCACTGATTCATTCTAATAAAAACCAGTAAAGTTTTGAAAAAAATCCCCCCAAAATATTTTTAAGTCTTTATATAAAATGAATCTCCCACAAATTAACATACAGATTGCATACATTGATGATGAATGCTAAACATTTGTTCCAAATAACTCCAGTGAATCATCTGTTTCAGCTCAAGCACACCTCCACTTATTTATTTCTTCCATGTTTGTCCTTAGTATTTGGTTTATTCATCTTTTTTTTTGCAGGAAAATTTAAAGCCAGATGCTGAAGCTCGTGTCGAGGAGAGGAGAAGGCGGCGGTTCCAGCCACTTACTCGTGTAAAATTACAGTCAGGCAACGCGATGGGACGTTATGGCCGCACGCGTTTGCCTCACTTGAAAGCTCCTTGTGCGCTTCGTTCTGGAGCTCACAATGTCAAATGAGATCAAGGATGTGTGAGAAAACGAAGCACGAGAGCCATCGTAAAAGCAAGAACACCAAAGCGGGAGGAAGGAAGAAAAAAAGAAGAAGAAGGGGAAAGATTTCTGCCTGCTTGCTCATTTTTACCCCCGGACAAGACGGGAAAACTAGGCCAAGCTTTATTCTGGTGTCGTTTGTTGGGAGTTGGACACTGGATTGACTTAATATGAACTTCAACACGCTGTAAAACATGCTCATGAAGTGTCACTTTTCTAACATTACCCACTCTCCTAATACACCCCCCCCTCCCCCCAAAAAAGTGTTTTTAACCGAGCCGAGACATTCCTCGTTCCCCCTCTCCATCACTTCGAGTAGCAATCTGCCAAGCAACTGGGAATGATTCTAACTCCTCGGGACAGATGAGTTCAACCTCACTGACTGCAACAACCGTCTAAACAATCACAGCTTCGGATAGAGGTCACTGCAGCTGCTCATCACTGCCATTATCTGGAGGCAGAGCTGAAAATAATGGGTTGAGTCCAATTTAAAAATAGCTTTTATTGCAGCTTTTCTCACAACAAGCTGCACCGATCACACAGAAGGGGAAGAGTTCAGCTTTGTGAATGACGGGGGACGCAGAGGAGAAGGGGTCGATCACAAATAATGGTGGAAGGAAAACAAGACAAGGGCTTGTCAAGTGGCGATAAACCAAAAAAAAAAAAAATCAAAACAAACATAATTAAGACAGCAGATACAAATCCCAAATATGAAAATATCCACAGTTTAATATACATTGATCCTCGCACTGCAAAATACAAAATCTTACCAAGTTTTTTTTAATCTAGTTTCTAGTGCAAATATCTTACACTTGAAATAAGACTAAATTAACTTGCAAGTAAGTAAGTTAATTTAAGGGTTTGTTTTAAATTAAAAAAAAAATCACTAATATTGATGAAGAAGTGCTAGTTCCACTGGCAGACCTGTAACAAGACATTTTCCCAGTGTTATAAGTGAAATAATAATGGAACTACTACTTTTATCATCAATATTGACATTTTTATTTTAAAAAAAGCTCCTGTATGCTGCTTGTAAGTTAGTTTAGTCTCATGTTATGTGTACCAAGATATCTGCAGTAGGAAATATACAAAAAAAACCTTAAGATTTTGTGTTTTTTGCAGTGATAATTTGGTAGCCATGAGTGGTTGTGTCTTAACGAAGGAGGCGATCACTGCCACAGTTCAATATTCGAATGAAGAAAAACTCTCTCTCCCCTGAGTGCGACTGTCCAGCGGCTCAGTCCTCATGGATGTTGAACAGCTTAGCCACCTCGTTCAGATCCACATGCTCCTCTCCGTCCTTGATGATCTACAGTTTTCCCCACACAAACATCTTTCAGTAAACGCATCACGTATTTGAATTCTGCCATAAACCAGGAGTGGTACCTTTCTTGCGATGGGCATTCTGTTGAACACGTTCCACAGGATGATCCCCACCACCACCTTCTCTCTCAGGTAGAAGATGACTCCTTTCCCGTATTCGTCCCTGTGGCTGACGACGGGAGCCGGCGCCGCCGGGGCCACCGCGCTGGAAGCCGTGTCCTCCGTTTCGCTTTCTGAGCGGATCCCAGTACCTGGAGCATGATCATGGAGGAAGCTTCAATCTGAGCCTTTTTTTTTTTAGTTTTTATTTTATTAGAATCAATATAGTGATTATTTTTTCACTTTGTGTTTTTTAAAGGGGCAGCATTATGTATTTTCCAGCCACATAGTGCCATTTTATAGCACAATCAACTAACGATGTTTTTAATTTTCCAATCAACAACTGAAATGTATTGTGACAACGATAAATCTAAATTCTTATAAGAACATTTTCACAATAAATGATACAATAAATACCCACCTCTCTTGAATTCCCCTGATTTGAGACACAGGCTATTTCTTTTCTTTTTTATTCTAAGACTATAGGGCTTAAACAAAATTGCAATTTTTGTTTGCCTCTTATATTCTGATCACCTACATGATTTGTGTGTCTCAGTGCATGTAAATATTTCCATATACTATCTCTTCATACATGAATTTACTGCAGCTCCTCTCATTAACGAAACAGTTTCCTATGCTGCAAATGTGCAGACATTTCACACAAACCCAAAGCTACACACCAGCAAGAACAAAAAAACTAAATATGGGATCATTAAGTATATTAAAACACTGAGCACACCTACCTGACTCCTCAGTAGCAGCTTTGGGTGTGTCCTTGGCAGTGGCTTTGGCAAAAACTCCTACAGTTGGCAGGCTGCTGTCAACAATCCCAATAGCTTCATAGCCGACATCGGGTCCCAGGTCGCTCCTGTGGAAAAGGACAAAACGCTCACCTCAGAGAAAACTGTTTTACATTCACCTCAAAGGGAGGAACCAAGAGTTATCAACTCAGTATTAAAAATTGCAACTAAAACATTTTAAAAAATCTGTGTTAATTAACCCACCAGAACATAGACTGATGCCAATAAGGTTTGTTGGCTCCTGTCATGTTCTCTCCTGCAAGCCTCCCGCTGACGACGGCGTGGTCGTGGTGCTCCACCCGCCTGCGGCCCAGCCTGATGTCATAGAAACAGGCCGCATCTCCAGCCTGACGTGAAACAAACACGACTGAGCACTTCGCACTTCACACACCAATAAGGATAGTTCATAATCAAAGATGGTGTACTCGAGTAAGAGCAGCAATACTTCAGCATGTTTTTACTCAATGTAAAACTTACTCAAGTACTGAGTAACTGATCAAAACAGGAATCATTTAATATTGAAAAATTACAGATGGACCAAAATGTAAAGTTGCGTGGAAATGTTGGTATTTTAATTACCAAACTGAAAATAATTTGTGTAAATAAAATCAAACAATTTCTATTTCCGAAA